CAATAATCATACCAAATTTTCCATGTTATCCAAACTTAATTCTAACACTTCTAACTTCTTATTCTCATAGATGACAAGTCAAATTCAACTTATCAACTCTATTTCAAGATTTCATTCAAGAACTCAAAATCTTTAATCTCTCATATACCTTTCATCTTGTTGTTTTATAACAAATTAAGCTTTCCTTAAGCTTAATTATCATCTAATGATCAAACCCCAACCTTTAATTCAACAAATAAGCAACTAATGAAGAAACTCACCTTTGCTTGTATGCTCCACGGTGGAGAAGAGAAGAAGATAAAGAAGATGAGAGAAAAATGAATTTCACGTGGGTTTCCCTTATCTTATAAGGGAAATAAAAAAATATATCTTGTCAAATGACTATTTTGCCCTTTAATTCTTTAGATAATTACTAAAAACTTTCAGGAAATATCCCCAAATAAATCATTGAACTATTCAATTATTTTATTTTGATCAACAAATTCTAAAATATTTCAATTTGGTCACTAACCCTGTGTTGAGGATATTACAACATGCATGATACTTATTGGTTTGGAAACGTGAACGGATCTCGTTACAATTATCCTTATATACAATGAAGAACAACTCTTTAAGAACTGAATACAAATATTCTATGTAATGTTCAATCATGCAGTCCTTACTTGGGAGGGGTTGAGTCCCTAAACCCTCAAAAGAAGTTTGTCTTACCAATTCCTGGCTTACCATTTGGATCCTACCCTCTGGGTTTTATTGGATATACAGTCAACATGATTACTAGCTTCCTGCATCATTTGGCATTCAGACATACTGTCAAGATTTGAAATTTATAATCAATTAAAAGTTCTTAAATACTTTAATCTAATTATCATTTCAACAACAATTACACAAATACATTGATACTTACTAGAAGTACGTATATCCACCAGTGGTTGCTTTCGATTTTCTTCAATGTTGATACTTTCGGGCTCTATTTCAAGGCCATCATCTTCACGAACAAGATTGAACTTTCTACCTATAATAGGTCCCAAATGCTTCTTTACTTTGAAAACCCCAAACTTAAAAACCTAACCCCTATTTCTAAATACTGTAATACTAAAAAAAATAGGGTTTCGACAATATACATTTCGTTTCGATTGCATCAACAAACAAATAGCTAGGCTTCCAAAAATGCCTTGCTACTACTATTTCACAACAACTAACTTTCCTCGATCTCTAAAACTACGATCGTCTTCTATCTATTTATATGGTTTAAGGTTTCCTCTGTAACCAAATATGTTATTTATATTGAATACCCTTACCGAAGTGTCGATACTTTTGTGTAAGGTATCAATACTTTTGAGACGTTTCGTTTTTGTGTAAACCGGTAGCGTTTTACCGATTTTATCATATTGAAACCAGTTTTGTCAATTTTCAACCTGTTATATTGTCATGTATCGATACATGTGTATGAGGTATCGATACTTTTTGCGTGCATCTAGTTTGGGAAGCATACTGGAGAAAAATTATCGATACACATACAAAAAAGTATCGATACTTTATGTGAACGTATTTTGTCATTAAACCGATATATTTTTACCGCTTATATTGTAAATATACCTATTACTTTAAATTAATCGGTTTCGAAGTTTTAAGAATCGATACTTTTCATACATGTATCGATACTTTATAGGCACAATTATTGAAACCGCTTTTGTCAATTTTCAATATGTTATATTATTTATATTTAATCGATACCATTACCCTTACCAAAGTGTCTATACTTTTTTGTAAGATATCGATATTTTCGAGACGTTTCATTTTTGTGTAAACCGGTAGCGCTTTACCAGTTTTGTCATATTGAAATCGGTTTTGTCAATTTTCAACCTGTTATATTGTCATGTATCGATACATGTGTCTGAGGTATCGATACTTTCTGCATGCATCTAGTTTGGGAAGCGTACTAGATAAGAAGTATCGATACACATACAAGAAGTATCTATACTTTATGTTAACGTATTTTGTCATTAAACCAGTATATTTTTTATATTTTCGATACGCATACAAGGTGTCGATATTTTCGATACGTTTTCATTTTTTTCTTTTAAAAGTATCGATAATATGATACATATAATGTAACTCCCCCAACCCGTATCCAACCTAGATCCGAGTCTGAGGTGTCACATTGACTTTTCAAACGTTATTCTTTACAAATTGATTAAAATGTAAATTCATAATTTAAGAAAATGAATACTTTACATTAATTAAAACATTTGGTTTTACAAATTCTATTAGAACATATCTAATACAAATTTTTTAGTACATGCCAACTACAAACAATAAAACAACATGCATAAACTTTAAAAATTCTATTTTGATCTAATCATCGTAAAGGGGATGATGCCCCGTCTTGCTCCTCTTAACTTCTTTTTGCGCTTTCTGGAACCTACCTGTGAAACACTCACACGCTAAGTCGAAGACTTAGTCAGGCATATAAAACTTATAATGGAAACTCTAATTCCTAAAAATGCATGAACATATCATACAACATTATCATACAAAACAATATAACATTTCATATAATCACATGCATACAAATATATAAATCTTATCTTGATCATCAATAACCTCATTTCATAATCAATATTACATTAATTTATGTCTTTTTGTTATCTATTCTTCTACTGAGACTTCTTAACAATCATATCATTCATTTAAACAAGTAATATATTCAACATTACATATAACCTATATTACATTTCACATAGCAAAGCAGATACATTACATATCATGTATTCATTTTTATTTCTTTATTAGCCTATGTACACATGTGAGAACTAAAGACATGTGAGTACTTATAGGTTGTGCACTAATGCTGTCACCACAGCTCGTATAATTCCCACTAGGGGAACTTAGACTTTGTCCCGAAGGACCGCGTAGAAATGTCCCGAAGGACCACATATAACACATATGTCTCAAAGGACCACTCCTTAAGAACCATATACATATTCCAATGGACCAAATAAGTGTACCAAAGTACCGCATATATTTTCCAAAGGATTATATATATGTCCCGAAGGACCACGTAGAACTCTCGACTCTTGGCATGCCAACTATACCTCTAGCTCTCAATTTACATAACATGGGCATTATCTTTTATGATAGTTCATTTCACTTGTTTCACATAACATTTTCACATGCACATGTAATAACTTAAATTATTTTGCATAACTCTTGTTACATATTCATATCACATAGACACATAGTTCATTTCACATGAACTCTTATGTTCCTATCGTATAACTTAAATAATCACATGAATTATTTATATTGATTCACATGATTTATTACACTAACATGTATTCACACATATCATATAGCATAGGTAATAACCAAAATATATATATATATATATATATATATATATATATATATATATCATGTCAAACATATGCTCATATTATTGCATTCATGCATTCTACTATAGGAAATAGACTTGTCACAAGTCTTATTTCCATTATACCGTATATATTAATTAGTATGCACTCACCTGGCCTCACTAGTCAATACCGATCTCTTATCTCTTCTCGATGACTATTACTTGTCAACTTGTTCGGACATTGCTCTCGATTGCTATCTACACAATCATACATTTATACATATCAGTATTCTACTTGGCATACTCTAATCTTTCATTTCTTAGACTAAAGGAAAGACAAATTTTATTTTCTATTTAAAGTAGATATCGATACACTCTATAGGGTATCGGTATATCCCTTAACCGATATATCGATACACTTCTTAGGTATCGATACCCAAATTACATTCAAAATTTTCCGTTTCAAGGGGGTATCGATACACTCCTGAAGGTAACGATACCCTTTGAATATATTCCTGAATTTTACTCTTGAGGTATCGGTACCTGTTGAATGGGTACCAATACCCGTTGCCTAGAAATCTCTTTTTAAGTCCGAAAATCACTTCATTTCAACTCAAATATTTTATATTTCATCGTCTTTCATATTCCTAATTCACATACACATAGTTAGACCCATTTATTCTCATTTATTACATCTTTAACCTCAAAATCCTATCATCTACATGGAATTCAAGAATCATACCAAATTTTCAATGTGTTCTAAATCCAATTGTAACACTTCATACTTCTTAATTCCAATGATGACAAGCCAAATTCATAATTAGAACTTCAAAAACCTTTTCATTCTAACAATTAATTTATATCCCCTTAATATAATTTCTTTTTCAATTCTCTCTTCTTGATGTTTAAAGCTTATATAAGCTTTCCTTAAGCTTATATAAGCTTTCCTTAAGCTTATATAACACCTAAAGAATCAAAACCAACTTATAAATCCAAGAATTAAACAGCTGAAATTAAACTCACCTTTAACTGAGGCTTACGGGGAGAAGAAAAGAGCTGAAGAAGAAAACTCTGGATACATTTCCCACGTTTTTATAACCCTTAAAAAGAGAGAATAAAAATATTCTCTTAGAAAAGACCATAATACCTTTATTACTTCCAAACTTTACTATTAAATCCAACATAAAAAATTCTCCAATTAAATCCCTAAACTTTTAACTTATTTCGAAATTGAACGCAAAGCTTTCAAAATTCACATTTTAGTCACTAGCCCTGATTTGGGATGTTACAAATCTCCCATCATTTTAAGAAAAATTGTCCTCGAATTTTCACTGCACATATTGATAAAAACATATCTTCTAATGTTCTCATGTTGCTTCCTTTACTTAATCTTTCCTGTTTACTTGTCTTCAACTTATTGTTCCCCACTTATAAATCATCACTCAATTCTTCATATACATCTAATCTTATAAATCCATATAATGTTATTCATAATATAAATAATAACTCCAATCTTTACTCCTGAATATCTTGAATTAATTTCTTTCATCATTCTCTAATTGCTTTGCAACATAGTCCAAACCTTTACTCATTTCTTAATCTTTGTCTGCATTATGATACACATAATCTCTTCATATAATTTTACATACTCTTCTTATTTCTAGTCAACCTTATAATCTATACTTCAATATAACCTTTATCATATTTGATAATTTAAATTCCATCATTTTCATTTAATTTCCTTATATATTTATTCCTTATGCTCACATTCTCCTTTCATATCACTTATACTTACTCCTGATTAACACTCTTTATCGTATTTTCATAACTCTGATAGTTAACACCACTTTCACAAACCTTATTCTTTATGAAATCCTTATTCGAATCATAATACACATATCCCTTTTTCATCATCTTAGCTTTTTTGTCAATCCTTAACTTTCGTCAAACATACAAATCCTTACCTCCTTCACTACATCACCTTTACATGATCAAGATACATAACCAACCATATTCAAATCCACACCATACTTGGTTAACTTAACCTGACATTATTTTCTAATCCTTTAACTCTAACACACTTACGATCACGTAATTTTTTTGCTAGTTAGCATCAATACTTCCAATCTTGAGTGTAACTTTCATTCAGCCATTCATATACATTCTTCCATTCGAACTTAACTCAACAATAATTTACTTAACTTATTAAATCCACATTCTTACTTTGTCAACTCAAACATTCTCACTTCTTTTGGCTTATCAACTGATCACCAATATATCCATTTTTAAACTCTCATGAAACAATGTCTATATCACTTGATCTATTTAAAATACTTCATATACTTCACTTTACATAATTTCTAATAGAACTTTTAATCCAATTCACCACTTAACGTCATATTCCTTCTTAACTCTTTACTTTATCTTCCATTATCAGATCCTACTACTCAAGCATTTCTGACTTTTATCATATTTGATCTTTTAACATGAAATACTACTAATTCCAACCATGATTGTATTCGAAACCCAAAATTTCTGCCTCATTCTGATAGTGTGAATCTTTATAAAATACCAATTCTCTTAATCATTCTGAGCTCTCTCTAGAACTTTAGCACAATTAATTACTTCATGAAAAGGGAATAATTTCAACACCAATAATACTCTTTTAATCTGGGCACAAGCCAATCATAAACCACTTACATACTTCATTTTCATTAAAATTATCCTAACAATAATTCCTTCAACTAATCAAACTGCACTCTTATCTATACACGTTACAATTCCCCTGTTCCAACTTCATAAACTCTAGCTTCATATATCTGATAAACTTATCACCGAATACTTATTCTCGAACTTTCTAAACTAATAACACATCCCTGAATCTTCTATCATTCTTATGTTAACATCTATTCACTATACTTCTACTCATTCACATAGTAACTAAACTATTTCATCTGATTTCTTCACTTTAAAACAGTGGAGTCATTTTTAACGTTCTTATGATGACACTGGTTCATCATATTCTATCTTATCCCCGTAATAATAAAACTACTCCAGGTCACTTTTTCGATTCAAACAGTGAAGACCTTTTATCACTATTCTGATATGATTTTAACTTTATGAAATCAACCCTTGATCTTACGAGGTACCTCATGAGGTGTTCGCTCTTCATCCTGCCTGGCCAGGGCAGGTGAATTGCTACCACCATCAGGTTCACCTCTCATTTTCTTTGGAAAATTCTCATAATCGAATTCCTACTATATCATACTAATCTTATTCTATTAGCAAGATAGTACACTCCTTACACTATCAGATCAGACATTTTCATTTTATGTTGGCATATACACATTTTAAAACACTTTTACCTTCGGTTTAAGCCTAGAATCGGCTAAACCTTAGCTCTAATACCATTAAATATAACACCCCAACTCGTATCCGACCCGGATCTGAGTCTGAGGTGTCACATTGACTTTTCAAACGTTCTTCTTTACAAATTGATTAAAATGTAAATTCATAATTTAAGAAAATTAATACTTTACATTAATTAAAACATTTGGCTTTACAAAATCTACGAGAGCATATCCAATACAAATCTTTTAGTACATGCCTACTACAAACAATAAAACAACGTGCATAAACTTTAAAAATTCTATTCTGATCTAATCTTCGTAAAGGAGATGTTGACCTGTCTTGCTCCTCTTAACTTCTCTTCACGCTTTCTGGAACCTACGTGTGAAACACTCATACGCTAAGTCGAAGACTTAGTGAGGCATATAAAACTTATAATTAAAACTCTAATTCCTAAAAATGCATGAACATATCATACAATAATATCATACAAAACAATATAACATTTCATATAATCACATGCATACATATATAAATCTTATCCTGATTATCAACAACCTCATTTAATAATCAATATTACATTCATTTATGTCTTTTAGTTATCTATTCTTATACTTAGACTTCTTAACAATCATATCATTCATTTAAACAAATAATATATTCAACATTACATATAACCTATATTACATTTCACATAGCAAAATAGATACATTACATATCATGTATTCATTTTTATTTCTTTATTAGCCCATGTACACATGTGATAACTAAAGATATGTGAGTACTTAGAGGTTGTGCACTAATGTTGTCACCACAGCTCGTATAATTCCCACAAGGGGAACTTAAACTTTGTCCCGAAGGACCGCGTAGAAATGTCCTGAAGGACCAAATATAACACATATGTCCCGAAGGACTACTATGTCCCGAAGAACCACTTCTTAAGAACCATATACATATTCCAATGGACCAAATAAGTGTACCGAAGTACCGCATATAAGTTCCAAAGAATTACATATATCTCCCGAAAGACCACGTAGAACCCTCGACTCTTGGCATACCAACTATACCTCTAGCTCTCAATTTACATAACATGGGCATTATCTTTTATGATAGTTAATTTCACTTGTTTCACATCACATTTTCACTTGCACATATAATCACTTAAATTATTTTTGCATAACTCTTGTCACATATTCATATCACATAGACACATAGTTCATTTCACATGATCTCTTATGTTCCTATCGTATAACTTAAATAATCACATGAATTATTTATATTTATTCACATGATTTATTATACTAACATGTATTCACACATATCATATAGCATAGGCAATAACCAAATATATATATATATATATATCATGTCAAACATATGCTCATATTATTGCATTCATGCATTCTACTATAGGAAATAGACTTGTCACAAGTCTTATTTCCATTATACCGGATGTACTAACTAGTATGCACTCACTTGGCCTCACTAGTCAATACCGATCTCTTATCTCTTCTCGATGACTATTACTTGTCAACTTGTTCGGACGTTGCTCTCGATCGCTATGTACACAATCATATATTTAAACATATCAGTATTCCACTTGACATACTCTAATCTTTCATTTCTTAGACTAGAGGAAAGACAAATTTCATTTTCTATTTAAAGTAAATATCGATACACTCTATAGGGTATCGGTACATCCAGGGCCGTGGCTAGGTTTTCGGGGGCCCTGTACAAATTCTTATAAAGGGGCCCTATTTTTTAGATATATTCGATTTCGGGGCAATAATAGTGGCGTTTTTTGAAAAAAACGTCGAAATAGGTTCATCTATAGTGGTGTTTATTGGAAAAATGCCACTATATATATATATATATATATATAATTTTTTGGGCTTTTTTTGGGGCTGCGCAATAATAGTGGTATTTTTTTTGAAAAAATGTCACAATATATCCATCTATAGTGGCGTTTATTAGAAAACGCCACTATATATATACTTTTTTGGGGCCCCATTTTTTGGGGGCCCTGCGCGGTCGCGCAGTTTGCGCCGCCCAAGCCACGCCCCTGGGTACATCCCTTAACCGGTGTATCGATACACTCCCTAGGTATCGATACCCAAATTACATTCAAAATTTTCCATTTCAAGGGGGCATCGATACACTCCTGAAGGTATCGGTACCCTTTGAATATCTTCTTGAATTTTACTCTTGAGGTATCGATACATGTTGAATGGGTACCAATATCCCTTGCTCAGAAATCTATTTTTAAGTTCGAAAATCACTTCATTTCAACTCAAATACTTTATATTTCACATCCTTTCATATTCCTAACTCACATACACATACTTAGACCCATTTATTCTCATTTATTACATCTTTTACCTCAAAATCCTATCCTCTACATGGAATTCAAGAATCATACCAAATTCCCAATGTGTTCTAAATCCAATTGTAACACTTCATACTTCTTAATTCCACTGATGACAAGTCAAATTTATAATTAGAACTTCAAAAACCTCTTCATTCTAAAAATTCATTTTTATCCCCTTAATATAATTTTTTTTCCAATTCTCTCTTCTTGATGTTTAAAGCTTATATAAGCCTTCTTTAAGCTTATATAACACCCAAAGAATCAAAACCAACTTATAAATCCAAGAATTAATCAGCTGAAATTAAACTCACCTTTAATTGAGGCTTACGCGGAGAAGAAAAAGGCTGAAGAAGAAAACTCTGAATACATTTCCCTCATTTCCCACTTTTTTTATATCCTTTAAAAAGGGAGAATAAAAATATTCTCTTAGAAAAGATCATAATACCCTTATTACTTTCAAACTTTACTATTAAATCCAACATCAAAATTCTTCAATTAAATCCCTGAACTTTTAACTTATTTCGAAATTGAACGCAAAGCTTTCAAAATTCATATTTTAGTCACTAGCCCTGATTTGGGATGTTACATATACTTATAAAAGTATCGATACCTTCAACATACCCGATAGCGCTTTACCAGTTTGTCATATTGAAACCAATTTTGTCAAATTTTAACCTGTTATATTGTCAAGTATATATACATGTTTATAAAGTATCGATACTTTATAGGCGCTATTATTGCAATTCTTTTAAATTCCTAAAGTATCGATAATATGATACATATACTTATAAAATTATCGATATCTTCAACATATCCGGTAGCGTTTACCGATTTTGTCATATTGAAACTAGTTTTGTCAAATTTTAAACTATTATAATGTCATGTATCGATACATGTTTCTAAAATATTAATACTTTATAGTCGCTATTATTACAATTCTTT